GAATTCTCCTCTGTGTTCTTTTGTTGGCAGTTACGATTTTCCCTTCAGCAGCTGTTTCAAGCACAGCAGACTCCCTCAAATTTGTGGAAGAAAAGACCTCCGAACATGGGTACTGGACGAAGGTAGCTTCTTTACTAAGACAAAATATGAACTCTCGGAAAAAGGACAACCCAGTATTTGAGCCTGAAGTTTACATGAATGCAGTAAGTAACGTTGATGCTGGTTTTCTTTCCGGTAAAAAAAACAACAACACACTTTTATATGAGAATCCGTTTCGGGTTAGAGTTGCAAAAATAAAACACTACTACAATTAATTATGATTCCTTCTTCTCCTTCCCCTCTCTTATCCTCCTCCTGCTCTTCCTCCTCCTCCTCCTCCTCATCATCATCATCCCCCTTCTTCTCTTTTATTACCCCTCCGTCATCCCTACCCTTCTTCTCCCCCGGTCATTCGTTCTCTTTAAGATCGTTAATGACAAGTGATAGTCATTCTTATAATTGCCGCTGATGTCGCTTTGTTACAGCCAATGGTATGTCATTTGTTGTTGCTGTTGTATTTTAAAATACAAATATTAGCACCTCTGCTAACTTTGCTTTCTCTGCATTATGAACGTTTTTGAAAATATTACCAGTCGTTTTGATTTGTGTTTGTTACTACATGTTAGGGTCTACCGCATTTACACACTACAGGGCTTTATTTGAGTACTGTGATTCTTTAAAAAAGTGCTGGATACTGGTCAAATAAAACTCAAAGACTATTATTATATTAGAGTATGTCATCAGTTGGTTCTCTGGTTTACTATTCTCTTCCTTTTTATAGTAAACTTCACTTTGAAATGCATAAGAAGAACCCTTGGTATCAAATGGCAAGACGAAATTCCAGACACAGAAATTCTCAAGTGTCAAATGTCGAGAGTCTGTTGTCTACGATCAAAATGACTCAACATCGCTGGGGTGGCCATGTTGCTAAAATGACTGACTTCAGAATCCCAAAGGCAGTACAGTGGAACTCGGATTCAACGAGGTCGCCGGGCCTGACCTAAAATCTCGTTGAATCCGAGTGTTCGTTATAGCAAACATGAGGTTTTGTGTAGATAATTACAGGCAATGAGCAAGTAATGTATAAAGAGAAGTCACAAATAGTGCCTGAAATGCCTGCATATTATGAGTTGTGTAAAAAAAAAAAAAAGACCGATTCATTCAAATGCATTCCTGTGTCATTTCGATTGTTTACCACAAAGTTGTGCTGCTGTGTAGATCCTAGCATAACGGCAACTTTTGATTTCATAGACAAGCGCACAATTCATTACGAAGATCTACGTCAAGACTAGTTTATCATTGTAATAATGATCAGTTGACGAGGGAAAAAAAGACTGTGACGCGTTTGTATCTGTGACGTTCAACACCCAGATCGCTAGTGCGCCCCCCTCCCCCTCCCCGACACGCACACACAGTCACACGTGTGCAGGCCGCCCATCCGACCCCGACACACGCCAGAGTAGACTCGTGCGCGAGCCAACAACGCATGTGTTTGTATGAAAAAAAGGCCGCTGTTTGGTCGCATGCAATCGGCTAAGTGAATACTGGTTCACAATGCAGTTGCAATGGGTGGTTTCCGGGAATAGGTAAAGTTCGTTCTTGGAGAAAAATGAGCGAAGCCAAGTCTGCGGGGGCAGTTCACCCTGGCAGTGACCTCGTTGAATCCGAGCTCGCTGATTTTAGTGCTCGTTGAATCCGGGTTATTAAAAAAAATTGATTTTAAAGAAGAAAACAAACAAACGGGGAATCTATCTCATCTTGTTGAATTCGAGTTCTCGTTGAATCCGAGCTCGTTAAATCCGAGTTCCACTGTATTCTATTTTGAATTGTCTTCAGGTAAGCGTAAGGTTGGGGCACCTGGAAATGGCTCTGAAGGATTCGAACATAAAACATACTTCGACGTGGGAGAGCCTAACTCCTGGCAGACACAGCTGGGGAGCAGCGGTCACAGTGGACAGCAATTCATATGAGGCTTCACGAATGAGAAATGTTGAAATCAAGAGAGAAGTCCGTGAGCTGGGCGCACCTACAATTACAAGTGAAAATGAAGCTTTAGATTATAGTAATGATCAAAATTATGTGGCAAACGTTTCTACGGGGAATTTGTCGCATCGGCCAATGCAGAAGCCAGAAGTAATCTTCTTGGCCTTTAATTCTTCAAATTCTCCTCTTTCGCTGGAGAAATATTCTCCTCTGCGGATGTATTGATCATCGTTGGACATTGACCGTCAAGGGTGAGGGATTTTATTACTTCTCTTGGTCGACTTCGTGGGACTTCAGTTCCTGTGTTGGAATCTGGGGATCATCTGTATGAAGTATTTTGCCTTCATTAATCAACTATGTCTTTTCTTATTGCTTGGAACGCTTTCACAACACGATTTAGTGTTATTTTTGTCAGTCTCTCTCAGTAGTTGCTCCAAGCTTTGTGAGAAATGGATAACAAAATGAGTCTTTTGGCTTTCTCACTGTGTTTGAGTGCTTTGAATTCCCTTTTCTTGTTGTGAACAAAGAAGAAAAAAGTAGACGTTTATGGGTTGATTTCATGGCCTAGAATATTTTAAGGCCAGACGGCCAGGTTGATGAAGAGTTTTCCGTGATTGAGCGAGCAGGTCGAGCACGTGACCTCATCGGGTCATACAAATCTGTTGCTTGAAAAATTTAGCAGTTATCGAGGTTTATCACCGGATGTTCAACAGCCTTGAAGAATTCTCCAAAATATGGTTGTTTCAACAGCTAGACTTTTATCTAAAGAATAGTATTCACAATGAAGATAAGACAGAAGATGAGAGCAGCAGAAGCAGCAACAACAGCAGCAGCAACAGAAGAAGAAGAAGAAGAAGAAGTAGAAGAAGAAGAAGAAGAAGAAGAAGAAGAAGAAGAAGAA